GCGCCGGGCCGCGCCCCCCCCCCGGCCGCCCCCCCCCCCCCCCCCCCCCCCCCCCCCCCCCCCCCCCCCCCCTAGTTAATGGTGGTTCAGTCAGTCGCCGGAGGAGTAATTAGAGGGCGGAACTCGTCAGCCAGGGACATGGTTTTACGGGACCTTGGGCTACCCTTGAATAATAAATGCCTTTTCTTTTCCTATACGGCCCACTCTATCATATCTTTAGACATTTCTTTCGACGTCAACCCAGCCCCCCTCCCCTTAACATGACGCGACCCCTATCCTTGCGTGACGTGGCCCCTATCTTTGCGTGACGTGGCCCCTATCTTTGCGCACACAAACGCCAATCCTGAGTCGTCAGTCGACTCAGCCAGAAGCATTCCACTGCTGGTCAAAGCTGTTCAAGGCAGCCTGGCAACGCTCGAGGTGCTTTCTTTCCATGTCCCCAGACCCCACGGCCGTCTTGTGCAACACGGCCCCCGATGTCTCCTCGCAAGCCAAGTAGCGGCAGATCTTTTCAGGGTCTGCTGTGTGGGAAGACTTGTTGGCCTTGGCAGAAGAACGACGCTTGGTCTTGTGTTTTGTATTCCTGTATGCGTTCAGTAGGGGAATCGGAGGCGGCTGGAGTGCCAGAACCACACGCAGACGGAAGACATACCCATGGACTGAACAATGCACCTTGAGTGAATCTGAGTCGGATGCGGTGGTCATGGTGAATCTGGTCTCGTTGATATATCAAAGGTGCAAACGTGGTTGATTCGAAGCGGTGTGCTACTTTTGGCAGCGAGGAGGAGGAGGCTTGGAGATAATTATTTAAGTATCAACAAGACACCCGACCCTTTTAAACTTGGTGCCTGGCGCAGACGGCGGCATTCTCGATCCATGAGTCCTAGGTAGGATTTGTTCCATCTTGAGTCTCCATGTCCATCTGTAATTACACGAAGCCTTGCTTTGAGTCCCTGTCTATAGAAACTTAGACCTAAGGCGGCATCCCACATAAGAAACCAGTGAGTCCTAGGACTTAGGGGACTCACGGCGCAATTTGCTATCTCGGCCGATCCAATGGGAAACCAAGCGAATCGCGGACCGCCGCAAAACACCGAACCTAGAGTCGGGCAACCTCGTCTGCAGGTCCACTCAGGTCCGGTGGTATTCTATGGACGATCACATCGCTTGCATGAAGCAGGATGCGGGGACTCATTCGGGGGAATCGAACGCCGCCGGCATCCTGGATTGGCTGGAGCAGGGACTCATGGCGACTCACGGCAGCACCCCCTCCACAGAGTTTTCTCAATAGCCCCATTGGTTGGTAGACCGCCTGAGCAGCAGCCATTGAGCTGGTGGGGGTCAGGGGCGCAGCCGACAGATGTCTCACTTCCCCCTTGTTATTAAGGCCGGGCCCCCCGCCCCAATGGACTCTCCCATCTCTCGCCCACACAACACTCATTTTGGCATCGGGAGCCTCCTTCACCCACCACCCGGTCTGGCGGCCATCGGCGCGCAGCTGCAGCAGCGGGCGGCGATACATCGGGATCAAGCATCAGGGCCGCCGCCCTGATAGGCGGCGTGCTTCGGCCCGATCCCGCCTGACAAGAGGCAAACCTGGTTTGGCTTGCTCTCACCCCCTCAGGCATATGACATCGACTTTACCGGCAGCGATTGTCTCACACCTCATCTTCTCCATCCCCACCCCATTCCTTCTGAAACCGCTGCGGCTTCCTGCAACCAAGCCTCGTCGGCCAACTCAGAGGGGACAAGCGGACCTGGTGGTGCTCCTCTCCCTCTCGATTCTCCCCCTCTCGATTCTCTACCTCTCTATCCTCTCGATCCTCTCTTTCTCAATCTCCAATTCCAAGATACCATCCCCTCTCCTAATTGGTCGGTCGAGGCGCCGCAATTGGATCTACGAGACGAAGCCTTCGCAAGCCTTTCTCCCAGTTCTTCGCTCGCGGGTCCTCAGTCGCAACTACCGTTTCAATATCCTGCGCTAGTCCAGGTTGGCTCTCGCCTGACTCTGGACAGTGCATCGTCCAGTCCACCCTCCTCCACTGGGCTCTCTTCCTCGCCGCAGCCCGCGACACCTCAGCTTCCGTCCCGACGAACCAGGTTTCACTGTCAGCATCCTGGCTGTCAGTACAAGTCCTACAAGCACCAAGACGTTGTCAAACACGGGGTCACGCACAACAAACCGGCCGAGGAATACCAGTATCAATGCCCCAGGTGTGGAAAAAGATTCCCTCGACGAGACAACGGTCTTCGACACACCAGAAAATATTGCCTACAGCTTTAGCTAGCTAGCGTCGACGCAGAGCCTTTGACCAACTGCTATGCTATCGCTCTAAACGTCCCCATATAATTATTCGTCACATCATACAGCCATGCCTGGCGACACCAAAATCATCTTTACACGCTCCACTCCTTGGATTGATCTGCTTGATCGGCCAGCTCTGCTTGCCCGGCTTGCCTGGTGGCGTGATCGGCCTGATCTGTCAACAATACCCATCAGCGGCAATTACGAGCTGTCCAGCCTACCCGAAAGAGCGTCCCAATTGCCAATCCTTGACCTCCGCTGCCCCATTAGACTATGGCGGTCACCCCTTGTTCTCTGCGACCCCATTAGCCTATGGCGCCCACCCCCACCATCATCAGTGGACGGCGTCAGCCCAATCCGAAAGTCTACCCTGCCGCGGCGGACATACTCGTTCTTGCAACACGTCATGGAGCCTAACGTCACCCACATATGGGAACTCTCGCCAGGCATCTACTACGTCGACCCCAATGCCTCCCCGAGTGGCACAGCACTATCTCACCAGTCGAAGCATGTCCTCGAAGTCTCTTTGATATCCGGTCTTGGACTGGTTGCAGGGAACTGGACTCAGGTCTCAGGAGTACAAGGACAGGGACGCTCAGGGGCCGACGGGACAGGCGGGGGTATTGGTGGGATGTACTGGACTGTCCATACTAAGTTATTAAAAGGAAGACATAAGAACTATTTTGTCTTTGTACGCTTTATATTTCCCAGGTCTAACAGCTAAGCTACGTGCACCTAGCTAGTAGTAGACCTGGGAAACATAGAGCGTGTGCACCTAGCTTAGCTAGTAGACTTGGGAAGCATAAAGCGTACAAAGACCACCTCCTGCACTCAATGCAATGCGCATTACAGGAACATAATCGTCTGATCCTATTGTCACAATGATGCTGTTCCTCTCCATAAATATCCCGGCCTGCCCTTTGGTTGGCCTGGCTAACTTCCACAGGGGTTCCTCCTCTTATGGTTTTGTTGCTGTAAAATCATGGGTAAGACCCGCACCAACGTCGTCCAGAAGGCCCATCCCCCCGTCATAAAAGACAAGTGGGAGGCCATAGGGGCAAGCGGTTGCTACATGTTTGAAATATTGTGTCTCCTGACTTGCTGCTTGTCAAGGAACAGACATCGACCATGTGGAAAGTGACGGCTAATTATTCGATGCCTCTCCTATCTTCGGATTACTCTCAAGCGTGTAGGGCGATATATGGGAGGGGTTTCACCCTAATAGGATAGTAGACTACTCAACAACCCTGTAATCAGTCAACCTCATAGCAACCCTTCCTATCTCTTGGGTGGCAAGGTTTAACCCAATCCCGCCTTTCTCAAGACAGTCTTCCATTTTGTACACTCTGATGTATTGCCCCGCCTTCGTTAGTCCCAGGATCAGAATGGTCCGCCATAATGTAGTTCGCAAGGACGAAGTGATCAAACCTGATGCTTTGCTTCATCAGATATTTTTGGGAGGTCAATTGTTGGGTATTGTCAGCTTCCATTTCTACGGATCACATATTACAGCTATTCCAACCGCTGCTACCGCGCGCCTGGCTTAGTATTCGCTAGAATACCTGCTATATATATTTAGAACCTTGTTGCCTAGGCCTCCTATGTAATCAGACTTGGGGGACAGGACACCCGATTTGACCCCGAGTTCCGCTATTGGTGGATACCTCCGCCAACGCGCGGCCACGAAATTGCGAAATTGCGAGAGAGATATAATAGTAAAAATAAAGAAGACATCAGCGTACGGCGCCATGTAGAAGAATTTTAAAAGTGTCCAGTCCCACCCCCCCCCACCTCCTCCTCTTCGCGTCTAGAACAAGAACGAGAAGGGCAGGAAAAGAGAGGCGACACGAAACGGAAGCAACAGACAATTCAGAACCCCCTTCCCTTTCCCGCCTCGCTCTAGTCGTCACACCTCAATAAAGTTAATTGCGCATCGCGAAACAACTTCCCCGATGGATGTATGCCTGGGTTACAAAAGGTATGTACATGGCTTGGAAGATCGGGGCCAGAACATGGACACTAAATACTCCCTCTCAAAAAAGGTCATCATCATAGGCTCCGGGCCCGCCGGCCTGGCCGCGGCTCTCCGCCTAAAGGTCAAGAACGGTGTCGAGGCCGTCGTCGTGTACGAGGTGCGCGACGCGCCCACTAGCCTGGGAGGGGCCGTCATGGTGCCGTGCAACGGCCTGAGGCTGCTCGACCGGCTCGGGCTCTACGACGAGCTGGCGCGGCGGACCGCCCTGAAAGAGTTGGCAATACAGCCCCTCGACCCCCCGCTCACCGCCACGTTCCTGCCCGACGGCCTGTTCGTCGCCGTCGACTGCACGGCCGCCCAAGACCTCCTCTTCTGGTTCTTCCAGCGGGAGATGCCCGCCCCCGCGATCGTTGGTTTCGTCAGGGGAGGCGAAACCCCCGCGTCCTGCTCATCAGCGACACCGCCCACGCCGCACAGCCGCACAGCGGCCAAGGCGTGTCGGGGGCGCCGGAGGACGTGTTTCTGCTGTCTCGGCTGTTGGAGTCCGGGCCACAATCAGAGTCTGCCACGGACCAGCTGCTGCTGCTGGAGACCGTTGATTATGCGCTTCGACGCCATCCGTAGGCCTAGGGTCGACAAGTTCTACAGACTGGCGGCCGCCAGGAGCGAGGAGCGCAAGAAGACGACCGGTCGCTGGGCGCAGTGGGCCAAGGAGACGTCCATGTACTCATTGTCCTCATGCAAAGAAGTAAAGTAGGCAAGTAAGATGTAAAATACTAATTGATGGCTTTAGGCATAGTCTAAAAGGAGCTTTACTGAGATTTTACAAAGTAATTTATTTCGTTGACACTCTATTGATACTCTATCTCAGACCTAGCAGCAGAATGGATCTTGCCAGACAAATTCCTTGACTCCCAACAGGCTTTTACTTGTCCTTCTTGATAGCCGCATCCCGGTCCTGTAGGATCTTTGCAATGGCCGGACGGGCCTTGATGCGCTCCAACCAAGCGTTGAGGTTTGGGAAGTCTGCCTCGAGGTTGAACCTGTCGGGGAAAAGGGGCAGAATGGAATACCACGTCACGAACGCCGCATCGGCATAGCTGAACCTGCCGCCGACGAGGAACTCCTTGCCCTGCAGGGCGTGGTCGAGGACGCCGGAGACGCGACTGATCTCATTGACGTATCGGTCGACAGCGCTGGGGAGCTTCTCGGGGTGGTAGCGGGTGAACCACACGGACTGCCCGAAGTACGGGCCCTGGCCGGACACCTGGAAGTACAGCCACTGCTTCTCTTCGAAGTACTCTTTCGAGCCTGGGGCGAAGCTGATGTTGTGTTGCTTGTCATAGGTTTCGACCAGGTATTCGATGATGGCGCCTGACTCCCACAGCGTGATGCCCGTATTCGGGTCCTCAATTGCAGGCACACGGCCGTTGGGGTTGATCGACACGTACGGTTCCTTCTTCATGTCCGGGAACTCGACCATCTTGTGCGTATAAGGGACGTTAAGCTCCTCGAGGACCATGGCCACCTTCCAGGGATTGGGGCCGCTGTCGTGGCCCCAGAGAGTGATCGGCTTGAGAGACATGTTGCTGGACTGGTGTGGGCGTGGGCTTGGTATGCAGGGATAGTGAGTGAATGGAGATGGGAGACTCAACTCTTCAGTGATTGAGTTTGATGCAAGATATGATGATTGTCTGTCTCTCTGGGACAGACACACTGTCCTCTTAAGGACCTTAGGAGCAACGACCAGCGTCATTGCTTAATTAAACCCCATGTCACTACGCAATCAACTGAGCCTTATGATTATCCATTCCTGACAAATGGGTTTGGCTGATAAATAGCTTTGGCTGACAAAATGGCTTCAGCTGACAAATGATGGCACGTAGGGCGGGGGCTAGGGTCTCAAGCAGTAATATAATATTTGTACGGATCCGTACAATGATTTTAGAAGTCTCCAGACGCAGGGCGGTCTGTGCGTAGCAGGTGGCTTCCGGAGCGGCAACATTTTTGGCAGCTGGTTCGACCAAAATTGCCAGTTGTCGCTGCTGCCAGCACTGGCGCTGTCGCTGTGTAAGCCGTTGCCGTCACCAACACTGCCGCAGTCGCCGTCACAGTCGCTGTGGCTATCGCCAGCACTGTCGCAGTTGCTGTTGCCATTGCCGTCGCTATTGCCATTGCCATTGCCATTACTGGTGCCATCGCTATTGCCATTGTTGTTGCTATTGCTGTTACTAGCACTGCCGCTTATGCACTATTGCCAAAGCTAGCACCATTTGTAGCCAGGTCTTGAAGCTGCTTTTTAGAGAGACGTTGCCTTAGTAGACTGTAAATGGAGGTTATGCTTTCGTCACGCCAATCAAGGACGTTTTTGTGCCAACGCCAGCAGCAGCCACAACCGGCAAGTTTGGTCGTCGCACCAACTGCCAAAATAGTTGCCAGTCCAAAGCCACCTCGCAGAGACCCCCTGCGTCTAGACTTCTGCCCATGCGTCTCGAGAAGTTGCCGATTTTGTACGGACCCGTACAATGATTTTGTACAGATCCGTACAATGATTGCGTTGTTGTTAAAAGCAAATAGAGTATTCTAGTATTCTAAATTATGTATATATATGCCCTGAAAGCCTCTCCTTTAGCAAAATCAGGTTCGAGAAAAGTCACTTCTATTTACCTCAATTTACTACGCTGCATCTCCGATAGCCTTACTACGCCATACCAGAACTCCATACTTATCCTCTTCCCTGCTTCCGTACAACTCCAAGGAAGGATGCACGCCATGACTAGGCTGACTGGAAAGACCGCCGTGATCACCGGCGGCGCTACTGGCATCGGCCGCGCCGCAGCAAAGCGCTTCATCGAGGAGGGCGCCGTCGTCTTTGTCTTCGGCCGCCGGCAGGAAGCGCTCGACGCCGCTGTGGCCGACCTTGGGCCCAATGCCCGCGCGGTGAAGGGCTCAGTGTCCGATCTGGCCGACCTCGACCGACTCTACGCGTCGGTGAAGTCCGAGCGCGGAACCCTTGACATCGTCTTCGCCAATGCCGGGACGGGAAGCCAGCTTCCGCTCGGCAAGATCACCGCCGAGCACATTGACGAAATCTTCGCCACCAATGTGAGGGGTTCGATCTTCACGGTCCAGAAGGCGCTGCCGCTGATGGGCGAGGGCGGTTCGATCATCCTGACCGGATCGAGCGCTGGCACCACAGGCGCCCCGGCATTCAGCGCCTACAGCGCGAGCAAGGCGGCAGTGCGCAACCTCGCGCGGTCCTGGGCGGAGGACCTGAAGGGCACCGGCATCCGGGTCAACGTGCTGTCGCCTGGGCCGACGGCGACCGAACTCGCGGTGGAAGCGCTAGGCGTGGAAGGCATGAAGGTCTTCGCCGAGCTCAATCCGCTTAAGCGCATGGCCGATCCGGCGGAGATCGGAGCCGTGGCCGCCTTTCTCGCGTCGCAGGACAGCAGCTTCATGACCGCCAGCGAGGTCGCCGTCGACGGCGGCCTGGCGCAAATCTGACGCGCTACGCTCGCTTATGGGTCTGCTTGACGCCTGTCTCGCGCTTGTTGCAATGTTGTTCGGAAAGATGTTAAGCAATGCAGTTGGTGGAACCTATTGTCTGTTAGAAATCAAAAGTACCTGGTGACCTTTATAAATTCCATGTCACAGATGAAAAACCCTAAATGATACATTTCGACATTATACTTTCAAAAGGTTAGGTTGTGACCAAAGCGGTAGGTTATGGAAGCTAAGTATTCAACTAGTGAAAATACAGCTGTAAGCAGTAGTAAAGCAAGAAAGTAAGGTAGGCAAGTAAGGTGTAGAAGACTGGTTGTATTGTGTGATGATAAGGATAATCTTTTAAAGTCAAGCGGCTAATCTATCTAACTATATAGTAAATATTTAGTCTTTTTGCTTTACTTGATTTATTAGATCAAACAACTTGACTTGGTGACACCAAGGGAATAGAGAAGAGTCTGTGCTTTCCTCAGAGGTTTTACCAGCGCCAAGGGTCCGAATGCTACCTACATATGCATTAGACTGGTGTGTGTCAGGGGCTACTAACACCAGAGACTGAAGTCGAAGATTCTGCTTTCCATTCCCGTCTCCTCTCCACGGCAGAAACCTGAAAGTGACCCAACAATATTCGGGAAATATGCAGACTACGCCGTTGCGTCGCGTTTACGGAAACTAACCACACAGCCTGCCATTGTGGGTGACCCCGATGAGTTCCGCAGCTTGTTCCACCGCGAAGGCGGTCCGGTGAAGCTCGACGACTATCTCAACAACGACATTCCCCAGCTGGGTCTCCACATGGTGTCGTTCAAGGACAAGACGCTCGTCTGCCTCGACTGGCCGCACACCTTGACGGACGCCCTGGGCAAGCGGGCCCTCCTCGACTTCTCGGCTGCTGTGGCTGCGCCGAGAGGTGGGGAGGAGGGGAGGAGGCCGGGGAGGCCGGTGTATATACAGAATAACCAGTTTGGATTGGTACTTCCTAATGGGTTCCCTATCATTGGCAAGGATGCTGAGGGGAATTACTGGCTGTCGGGGTATACGAATAAGGGCCACTGGGCGGGGATTACGGAGCTGCTTGCGAAAGCCTAGAACAGAAAGATTTCAGTTGGTCACAGTTAGCCAGAACTAGGCCTAGCCAGAACCATCGCCGTATCCACCAAACGGGAACGGCGCCACTGAGGTCATACTGCATAGCTACCTACCTAGCTCCCGTCTCGGGCCTTATCCACATGCTGGGCGAGCGTAGTCATTGGTCTAGTAGTACATCCCGAAGCGGTATGGTCGCATCTGTTATCTATTCCACTCCTGCCGAGACAGCGATCCCGAATAACAGCCCCGAATAAACCCCTGGAGAGTCCGAACTCTCCGCGGGATGCATTTCTGCAACTTGCTGGTTCTTATTAATTATACACAGTACGGTTACTTGTAGAATCGATACATGCTCCATAACCACTCAGTAGCCTTTCAACAAGTGCCCGGTTACAGGTGGGGATTCTCTTTGACCATGGCAGCCAGCAATTGTCCAATACGAGGGTCCACCTTGGTGAACATGGTCTGTACAGCCACCCTCAAGGGCGCAGGCACGTCTTCCAAAGTGCCCGAGACATTTAACACCCACTGCGCTCTCTCGGGCTCGTCGAAAACCCTTTTCCAGAGATCTCGGGGCTGCTCGAAGTCCTCATCATCCACTGGAATCTCGTTCAAGCCCAGCGTCGCAGTAGGTAGGACTCGTTCGAGGTGCCGTATTTGGGTGATGGCCCGAGTGGACACGCCTGGGCTCAGCGTGCTGCGCACATAGTTAGGATCGCTGCCGTAATTCTTAGTCACGGTTATTCCATCGCGCTCGTATGGCGCGTAGACAGGCGCAATTGGCCGGTTTGGAGGCAGTTGCGCATAGTTCACTCCGAGGCGATATCGTTGGGCGTCTGGGTAGGCAAACATGCGCGCCTGCAGCACTGTAGACAATCAGCCTCTTGTTGACACCTGCCGGGGTGGGGGAGGGGGGCTGCACTTACTGGGATCCGGCGTCATTGCGATGCCAGGGACCATATTGGATGGGGAAAACGCAGCTTGTTCAATCTCAGCAAAGTAATTGCCAGGCTAGGAGGATTTTCCTTGTCAGCGACTTATCTTCACTCCGAGATAAATGTAGTCTTACATTCTTATTGAGTGTCATTTGGCCAACTTCAATCAAGGGAAAGTCCTTGTGGGACCAGACCTTGGTAATGTCGAACAGAGCTCGGCCATGCTTCTCGGCCTGCTCGGGTTCCATCACTTGAACATACAGCTTCCACGCTGGGAAATCGCCCCGAGCAATGGCATTCCAAATATCTAGGTTGTGGAAGTCGGGATCGACGCCGGCCATGCGTTCTGCTTCTTGGCCAGAAAAATGGCTGACTCCCTGAACAGGACGGAAATGGAACTTGCAGTATCGGAACCTGCCATCGTCGGCCACCAGCTTAAAAGTGTGGACTCCGAAACCTGTGACCCGACGGATCGAATCAGGAAGGCCGCGGGAGCCAAATAGATGCATCAGAGCGTGTACGCTCTCCGGTTGGTTGACATGAAAATCCCAGAACTGGAGAATTAGATCCTGTGAACAAGATAGAGATGAGCAATCACTTACCATGGTCCAATCTGGTCTATTTGTACCAGGGTGCCTTTTGTGACTTCTGTTCAACGAGGGAAATCGAACAGGGTCACGCACGAAAAACACGGGCTTCCAAACGTTAAAACCCAGAGGAAGATTTAGGGGAGGCACTGAACCTACAATGTGGTTGCCGACAATGTCATAATTGCCTTCCTCTGTGAAGAACTTGACAGAAAAGCCTCGGACATCGCGAACTGTATCAGCGCTGCCCTTTTCGCCGCCAGTAGTGCTGAGGCGGAAGAGCACCGGTGTCTTCTTGCCAAGGCCGTTCAAGAATTTGGCGCAAGTCAAGGAGGAGATGTCCTTATTGGTGACTTCGAATTCACCCCAAGCACCCGCTGCTTTAGCATGGGCGACTCTAAGAGTAAGTTAGCTAACCGATTTTTAGAAAAGCTTGTGCCAGAAGATTACGAACCTCTCCGGGATGCGCTCCCGGTTGAAGTGGGCGAGAGTCTCAAGAAGGAGTGTATCTCCCAATGTCGAGATACCTCCCCCACCAAAAATCGGCAATGTGGTACTGACAGACGGATCTGAAAGTGGCTGGCCTTTGTGGTTGTCAGAATCATAATAGATAGGGAATTGAGGATATCACAAACTCACCTTCCGCCAATGTAAAGACAGGCTTCAACATCTTGTCGGTTGTTATTTTTCTATGAACAATTTCCTCTCTATTTTGAGCGTAGATGATCAATGTCCAGCTTAAGGTCTTGGGAATGGTACATTATTTATATTATATGTAGGTATCATGAGTAACCACGCCACTGGCCCCTCCTCACATGCTGTGAATACCAAATACTCAGCTCCGCCGAAATTTAATGTTCAAACCCCGAAGCTCCTCCGACGTACACATCGTCAGGATAAGAGCCTGTGTTGGACTGCTCAATAGAAAGGTTAGGGAGGGTTAGAAGGGTTTGTGATGATGATCCAAGATCCCGAGAGAAATCCGACAACCTCCCCCTCTCCGCGGTAATATTTTCGTTATGATGCGGTCCGTCAGAAGTTGAAGACCCCGAGCGAAATCCGACATCGTCCTCCCCATTATATTTTCGTCAAGATGTGTGTCGTAACAACTTTCCGAGTCTCCCCTGGTCTGGACAATCAAGCTTTTTAGCTCAGGCCTACGGAGACAGCCGGGTGCCGGGATGCTCCACCAGTCTCGGTCCATACAGAAGAGTTCCTGAACTAGTGCCACCTCTTAGCGTGCAACTACATACCTACTCTGGCTCTCTTTGCTACTTTAGTAGATAGTGGAACACGTGTGGACCTATGTAGATAGTACTCCGTAAGTGGATCGAGCTAGTGGCAAGAGATGCCGCGGACGTTTCTACGAGTACGTACATGCCGCGGACATTTCCACATTGCTCGCGAATGCAGTATCATGATAGCCAAGGTTTAGTGGGCTTCAGCATAGTTTCAATGTTACTCCCAACAGATGGCAGAGTTAGAAATGGGTATATATATGTATGTATATATGCTGCTCGAGAGCCTTTCTTTTTTGTTCGCTCGTTCGTTTAACTCTTTACTTTTAAGACCATCCCCACTTCAAACCACACAACAGACTGTAAACCATGGCCACAGTTTCGAACGGCAACGAGTACGATTTCATCATCGTTGGCGGTGGCACCGCTGGCAATGCGGTCGCTGGCCGTCTGGCTGAAAACCCGAACGTCCGTGTTCTCATCGTCGAAGCTGGTATTCCCAACCCAGACCAAGTCGATGAAATTACTACCCCCACCAAAGCCTTCGGGCTTCGAGGAAGCAAACACGACTGGGCCTACAAGTCGACCATGATCAAGCGCGACGACTACGAACGAATCGAGAAACCAAACACGCGCGGAAAAGTGCTTGGTGGAAGCTCCTGTGCCAACTATTTCACCTGGATCCCCGGTTCCAAGCCCACGTTCGACGACTGGGAGGAGTTTGGCGGTTCAACCTGGAACTGGGACAGTTGCGTCGACTACCTTCGCAAGTGTGCAACCTATCACGACGACGAGAAGCTGTACCCAGCCGAGCTAAGCAAGATTGGCACCGGAGGCCCTGTGCAGATTTCTCATGCCGAGCTGGTTCCGGAGATGCAGCCTTTCCGCGACGCACTCACCAAGGCGTGGACCTCCAAGGGCGAACCCCTGACCGAAGACATTTACGAGGGTGAGATGAGGGGTCTCACCCACTGCGTGGATACCATCTACAACGGTCAACGCCAGGGTAGCTTCTTGTATCTGAAGAACAAGCCCAATGTGACAATTGTCTATGGCGTCTATTCGAAGGAGCTCATCATCGACTCGGCTACAAACACCTGCACTGGTGTGACCATTTTCAACGAAGCCCTGAATACGGAGATCAGTGTCTACGCCAGTCGGGAGGTGATCCTGTCCCAGGGTGTGTTTGAGACCCCCAAGCTGCTCATGCTCAGTGGCGTTGGTCCGGCAGCTGAGTTGGCTCGACACGGCATTGACGTCAAGGTGGACTCCCCTCACGTTGGCCAGCACCTTCTGGACCACCCGATCGTGCCATTTGTGCTTCAGATCAAGGATGGATACGCCTTGGATGATCACATCCTTCGAGCCGGCCCACTTAACGACAAGGCTGTGGCTGCCTACAAGCGTGACAAGAGCGGCCTCATCGGTTCTGGGCTGTTGGAACTTGTTGGGTTTCCTCGCATTGATGAACGCTTAGAGAACCATGAGGCTTATCGCGCGGCCAAGGCTGCCAATGGTGGCCAGGATCCTTTTGGCCCTGCTGGTCAGCCCCACTTCGAGCTTGACTTTGTCGGCATGTTCAGCACTGCCTTCCAGTGGCACTACCCGGTTCCTGAGGCGGGCAGCTACATGACCGTTATTGTTGACCTGTTGCGCCCTCTGTCCGAGGGTGAGGTTACTCTGAACAGTTCCAACGCTCTGGTGCAACCCAATATCAACCTCAACTTCTTCGGCAACGACCTTGATATCCTGGCGATGCGCGAGGGTGTTCGCTGGACTTACGATGTTTTGACCACCGGTGCGGGCTTCAAAGACATCGTTGTCGCAGAGTACCCTTGGAAGATGCCTCTCCATTCCGACGAGGAGATGGACAGGGCCGTGTTGGACAGAAGCCAGACTGGATACCGTAAGTCCGTCTAATGGCAGTTGTTTGTAGTGGCACTAACGGATTTCACAGACCCTTGCGGAACTGCGCGTCTCTCCAAAAGTATCCACCAGGGTGTGGTTGACTCCAAGCTGCGCGTGCATGGGGTGAAGAATCTTCGAATTGCAGACGCTTCCGTCATTCCAGTCATTCCCGATTGCCGTATTCAGAACTCGGTCTATATGATTGGCGAGAAGGCAAGTGGCAATCCTGCTGTATCTCCCGCGAGTTCAAACTAACGCAGGGTCTATCTAGGGTGCTGATATTATCAAGGCTGCTCACAAGGATCTCTATGAGGCAAAAAATGTTCCTTACTTTATTTCCAGCAGGCTGTGATCCAGGTCTTCTCTTGTTATCGGGATCAAGATTGTACGCCTATACGAAGATAACTAGAGTGTTGCAACTAGCTAGAATGCTAGTAATAGCTTGCTCTTACTTACAGCAGAAAAAGTCATATCCAAATAGCTCCTTTAGGTTTAGGGTCCTCTAGCTTGTGTGGGGAACTCCAGCCCCCCTTTCAGGGCTGAATTCACGTGCCAAGGTAAGGTAGCTATGCGTAGGCAGCAATCACCTCAAACACAGCCTGCCTTATCTCTGACCAGTAAGTCATTTAAAGAAATCCCGCGCGAGCCTGCCTTGATTCCTTGTATTTACTAGTGCTTACATCGCACACACCACCTTCGTAGCGCGCGCCGAAATTCGGACAGGGGAGCCCAGCCTTGAAATGGGGTCGTGTTCCCGCCAACGGGCAGAAGAAAACCTTTCCCCACACATCATCCCATCTCCACTCTTAGGTACCCTGCCAGTGCGCGCCGAGCCGACAAGATGCCCATCAGCTACCTGCCTCTTGGCGATCCCCATTTGTCTCGGAACTTCCGTCTGCTGAAGATCCACCCTGCCGGGGAGGGCAGCGTGCTTAAATGTTCGCTCAAGCACTTCTCTATCCACCAGTCCCCGCCGTACCGCGCCATCTCCTACACATGGGGGAGCCCTTTCTCGGTCGGCGAGCGCAATGACACCACCAAACTCGAGACCATCGTAGTCGACGGCAAGCCGCTCGAAGTCAGCCAGAGCGTCGCCTCTGCACTCAAGGCCATGCGAGACTGGCATCCAGCCCCTTCGGAATGGATCTGGGCCGATGCCATCTGTATCGACCAGTCCAACGTCTACGAGCGCGGTCAGCAGGTCGTGCTCATGTCGCAGATCTACTCCCAGGCGGATACCGTCTTCGTATGGCTCGGGCCATCGAGCGAGGACTCGGACATCGCCTTGGGCCTGCTACGAGACCTGGCGAGTGACCGGCGACAGCCGTACCCGCGATCTGCGATCCTCGCCAGAGCCTCTGATCCTCAACAGACCGGCAGATGGCGGGCCTTGGCAACGTTTATGGGTCGGCGGTGGTGGGCGCGTGCCTGGGTCCTCCAGGAAAGCGTCTTGGCTCGCCAGCTTCACTTTGCATGCGGTAAGACGCTCGTCCACGGTGATGACGTGCTGAACGGCTTCGACGCCACCGAGGACTACCGGGACAAGATATACAACCTGCTGTCCGACGTCCACGGTGTCGCGCTAAACGTCCATAGCGGCAATGTGATCAACGGCATGAGTCGCATGAGGACTGCTCGGATGATGGGGACTGTCTACAGCATGCAGAGGTGCCACTTCCGCTCCATGAGTGCCCAAGCTACGGATCCTCGGGATTACGTCTACGCAAAGCTTGGATTGGCTTCGGATGGTCATTTTGTGCGGCCAGACTACACGAAAGGCGTCATGGAAACCTACAGAGATTTCGTGGCGGGCTACATCAAGGCGACTCGCACGCTGGACATCATCTACTTTGACGCGCGGCCGAGGGAGACCCCAAACCTGCCGAGCTGGGTTCCGGACTGGAACGCCTCGTTCGGCGCGGAACCCCTCGTCCCAGACCACACAGTGTCGATTTCAGCTGAAGTGCCGCTGATCCAGGAAGAGCTCGCCAAAAACCAGCAGAAGGACGCCACCGCCAGCTTCGACTTTGACACTGACGGCCTGAGCCGCCTGATCGTCGACTGCTGCTTCTTCGACACCGTCGACGGCGTCAGCAAGGCGGGAGAGGTCGGCTGGCAGGGCGCCGAAGCCAGGCGCCCCATGTCGCAGTCCCAGCAGGCGCACTCGGCATACGGAGGCGAGGAGCCCACCTTCGACGCCGTCTGGCGCACCCTGCTCGCGAACAAGGGCTTCGAGGACGGGGAGCTCCTGCCAACGGCGGGTGGCATCCTCGCCGCCTCCATGGCCCCCGCCAACGTTGCGGATCCCAAGAGCGGGCCCCGCTTCACGAGCTACTGGGAAAACCTCAAAGACCTCAAGGTGGCCGACAAGACCGTCGAGGAGTGGATGAAGTGGGGGAGGGAAACCCTTCCCGCCCCGCCCTTCACCCTGGAGGAGCAGTTCGAGGTGGAGAGCGCGTTTGTCGACGTCTGGTACTTCCGCCGCTTTTTGACTACGACGCGCGGCTATACCGGCGTGGCCTCGTGCGAAACGGAGCCTGGGGATTGGGTCTGCGTCCTCAAGGGGAGCAAGCTCCCAGTCATTCTCAGGCGGGCTAAGATAGGCGGCGACAACGAGACTGCTAATCCCTCGTCGGGCCACTGGACCTTGGTTGGACATGGATACGTTCATGGCATTGTAGAGGAAGCGCAGAGCAAACCGTTTGTGACTGCTAGCATCATCTAATTGAAGGTATTAGTGATAGCTGTTTGAGTAGTCTGTAGAGCAGAGTCAAGAGCTTATATAGTCAACCCAAATGCACGAGTACTGTCCTTTACTGCGACTGTCAAGTAGGATGGCAACGAGTGGTAATCAAGCTATAATCCGCTGCTGCTAGCCGTAACCTACCCGTGTTCCGTGCTAGATTTCTCTAAGAAGAAGGAATAGCCAAGGAGATAAACTGTCTAACTTTATCTTTCTAGCTTTGTCTTAACTATCGCTTATAAAGATTACTTAATAAGTCTAACTTTAAACCTATATATTAAGGTAACCACAATAGTGATGACTAAGAGGTTTGGTAATTAAACATTACAAGTAACTTATTTATAAGGCTATAAAGTAGCTAAGTTACGTGATAACTTTTTACCTTATAATTCGCATTTGAAGTTAAAAGAACTTTCTTGCCAAAGGCAACCCTAACTTTAAGTCTAGGGTAGCCTTGCAATCTACATGACAGCAAAGTATAATTTGAAATTTTGGATAGATAAAAACACCTTTGTTATAAAGTAAAGTAATAAATCCTAGCTTTAGTAATGCATTCTTTAAATGCTTATACTAACGCCTTAGTAACTGTTTTAAGCTATATAGTGCTTTATTTAATTTGCACACTTTACTTTCTTTTTCAAAGCTTATAGGCTGTATTATATATATTTCTTTATCAACATCTGCATGGGCAAAGGCATTTTATAAAGATTACTTGAACTTCAAACCTATATATTAAGGTAACTACAATAGTGATGACTGAGCGGTTTGCTGATTAAGCATCACATACGGCTTATTTATAAGCCTACAAAGTAGCTAAGTCACGTGATAGCTCCTTACCTTATAATTGGAATTTGAAGTCCAAAGGACTTTTCTGCCAAAGGCAACCCTAACCCTAAGGACAGGGGAGCCCTGCAAGTTAGGGTAGCCCTACAAGTCCAGGGTAACCTTGCAAGTACAGGGTAGGTGCAGAAAATCAAACCACCTAAAACTACCAAACCCCGCAAAACCACTTGATACGTATCACCACCTTGCAAGTGTGTGATCTACGTATTACTACTAATTCAAACAATCGGATCCTACAGACCCGGTCTGATCAGCCGATCCGAGGTATCAAGTTGTTTAAACTAGTAGATCAAGTAAAGCAAGAAGACTGAATTTTACTATATAGTCAGTTAGATTAGCCAGCTGACTTTGGTGAAAAATAATCAACCACACAATACAACCAGTCTTCTGCACCTTACTTGCCTACCTTACTTTCTGCCTTTCTACTGCTTACAGCAGTACTTTCACTAGTTAAATACTTTGCTTCCATAACCTACCTCTTTAGTCACAACCTAACCTTTTGAAAATTCCATTTCAATGCCTAGAAATATTAAAGGTTTACCCATTACTTGTAATTTTATATATTTAGACGCAATATCAAAAGGTTAGGTTGTGACCAAAGAGGTAGGTTGTGGAAGCAAAGTATTCAACTAGTGAAAGTACTGCTGTAAGCAGTAGTAAGGCAGGAAGTA